TGACTTAAACACAATTTACTGTGCACAATGTCTCTCCGTTTTTCTTAGAACACATTTTATCACACAAGAGTTCTGTCTTGGAGGACTAGATTCTAGATCGGTGGTGGAAAAGAATCATTTTGTGTGTGGTGTGCTGTGTTGAGATTCTCGGAGCACACCACACAGAGTACGATCAAAACTGTTCAATGCCTGACTTTTTTTTTTTCATGTGTGAGGACTGTGACAGATAAAAAATCTCGTTAAAAAAATCTAATCCTTATGTGTGTACCCTGCTTTACACAGCCAAAACAGCTTGGGGTCAAATTGACCCCACACAGGGGCGGATCTAGAAAAATATTCATGGGGTGGCAGGAGGGGGGCAGGAATTTTTGAGGGGTAGCAACATATGGCAGACATATACTGAGTTTGATCAATACAAAAAGGCATGGCTGCCATTTACAAACATGACAGACATTCTTGGTCCAATACAATCTTTCTTTTATTAGGATTCTCACACCAGTAAGATTAATACAATGAGGCATGGAAAAATAAAAACAACAACCCATTGCAGCTCCATGGATTTAGACCAGTGTCACATTTTAAACCTTTCTTTCTCATATGCAAGCATGAAAATGGGTCAGGGATTGAAAAGGTGAGAAGGGTGCGGAGGAAATACGTTCCGGTACACTGTACAACCAAAGAAAATATTGAGCTCTGTTCACCCACATTGTGTTTCAATGATCTGCAGGAGGCGCCAAAAACACTCCAAGTCACGCCTGCTTGCTTTTTTGCAGATGCCTGCTTTTGCTATTTTAGATGGCTCAAAACCAGGGCCGTAGCCAGGATTTTGGAATAGGTGAGGTCCATGATGCGCGCGCAGAGCGCGCGCTGAAATTTTTTTAAATGTTTTTTTTATTACAATTTTTTAGGCTACAAGTCACACAAGATGTTTATTGTTTAAATATATTTTATTTATTTTAATTTTTTTTTTATTCCATCCTCCTCCGTGTGCCTCTGCTCCCCTTCCATCTCTGAATGACTCTCCTCTCTCTGCTACACCTAACTTTTCCTATTCTCTCTTCCATCCTCCTTGGTTTCATGTTTACTATCTTCCTCTTTGTCAATTTCTTTCTTTTTCTTTGCCAGAAATGCATCCAGGGTATTCTGTTTTAATCTCTTGAACATGTTTGCCCTGCTCTCTGTGACTTGTTTTCTGTGGAATGGGTATATTAAAATTAATATGAGCTGCAAACTTGCTAGATAAACTGAACATTAATATCTAAAAGTGCCCCCTCTAACTTTTTAACCCATATGTACTTTCACTTACCAAATGATTTCTTGAAGTTGACATATAAGGTACTCAGAAGGTCTACTATTTTTTACTGTTTTTAAACTGTTGGGTTTATTTTGTAGCGGCTTTAGAAGAGTGCTATGATGCAAACGTGTACAAATAACTAAGACGTCGCCTGAACTGCACTAAACAAAGCAAACGTCACGTAACTCGAGGTCCTCGAGTAGTCGCATCATCGTGACGCGTACTCGGCCAGCTGATGAGCCGGGCGCCCATCAAAAAAGAAAATAAGCGCCGGGCGCGCTCTCCGCTGTGGATAAAAGTAAATAAACTGGCTTTGATCAGATGATTTGACAGGCCGAACTAGTGCCGAATTATCTAAAAAATATATATTGTGGTCACCTAGGTGTAGATGGGCGGGGATGTGGTCTATGAAGTGCTAATAATAAAAATACTTTAGTTTTTGAATGGGGTTTCACAGGGCGCAGTCGCGGGTACGTGCATCAGCTGATCAAACAGCTGTTCACCGCAACACGCACACAGGCACAAACAGAACACAAAGCCCATGGATGTTTACCACAATTTACAAGCACGTTTCACAGAGAGGTTTCAAGTTTTTATAAGTTTATGTTTTATTCGGTTGGGCGTATTTGGCGAAAAAAAAACTCGGAAAAAATAGGTGAGTCAAGGTAAAGAACAATAAACTTTCGGGACAGCGAATATTCTGAATCAGAGGGCTATTGTGTTCGGCTAATCTGTATAACCTGAATGAAATCATTAAAGGCACACGCTTTTGAATCCGTCCAACGGTAAGGAAAACTTCGATTATTTCGCCTTGTTACGTACTTTCAACCGCGCTCTCGTCAGGGGGGGCATTCTACGGCAGGGGTGCATTCTACGGCACAACACCGGCGTGGATAAGTCCTGCTTCTCGTTCTCGCGGCTTTGCAATGCTACCACAGGCTCTCCAAGTACTCCAAGTACACGTGAAGAGTGTACGCATGATTGGTTCTCGTCAGCGAAGCAGCCAGGAGGATTTGCTGACCGTCCAAGTGTCATTTAAAGGGCCGATTTCTGAAGTGTTCAGTTTACGTATTAAGTCAATCACATGATAATTAAAAAATAAATAAGTCTCCCTACCCCGACCCCTAAAAAAATTCTCCTCGGATCTACACGATTCATGTAAGTCACCTTTTTTGACTTCAAAACGGCGAATTTCGCCTAAAGGTGAGAGATTTTCATGCCTGAAAATGGCTTTTACCTCTTTCCTCGTGCCTTCTTCCTCGGCTCCCGACTGTCTCTCTCTCGCTTCGAGCCCATAGACTGTGGCTGTGTCCGAAATGGCATACTGCCTACTATCTACTTACCTACTCAAGCAGTAGCTACTGCCTACTGACTACTCAAAGAGGATTTGAGTATGCCGCGGCTGCCCGAGCGTTTACACACATACATACTAAATACCCCAGAATGCATTTCGTGCCGGCCGGACGCAGCGCCGGGAAAATTTAAATAGTCCTACCACAAGCCACACAGAACGACTGCATCCCGGACAAATTATATAAATTCATTCAATAATAATATTTTTTTCTAGCGAGAAAGTAAGTGTTTACATCACGATTATGAGCCCAGTTGTTTGAAATAGTGGCTGTTTGTAAATTTGTCTCGGCGTTTTCGGAGACCGAAGCGTCCACTTGGTCGGTGTTTGCGTCAGCAGCCCCCCCTTCACGTTTCCAAATTATTGCTAAGTGTTTTCATAATCAACATCTACACGACACAAACCGGGCGGCAGTGGATGAAAAAAATCACCCAAACATCCGTGTATCCATGGTGATAATGCTATACACCACCTGCTGGCCGTGTGATGAGCAGCAGAGGGCTGCAAAATGACCAACACACAACATAATTATTATGACCTTGTTCGGTTATTCCTTGGCAAATACATCATTTCCCGACTACATTCTTTTCATGTACAATGATAATTTCAGAAACCATCAGATTTTCAATCACAAGTAAGAATTAGTAAAGCTCACATAGATTGTCAACTGGAAACTCCCCCGTTTGTATATTCTGAACCATGTGCTCTCTACCAAAGATAATTTTTATTAATCAGAGGTCTGTGCTTAATATGAGCGACCTCTTTAATGATGATGCATTCAGAGATGAGAAGATGCTCAAACTTGATGTAATAAATACATCTTTAATAGACACTTAAATAAATAAAGTCAATTCATACGAATAGTTAAAAACATTGCCTATAATCCTAATTTAAAATACGAATAAATCCGGTAAAAAGATCAAAATATGATAAAATGATGAAAATTGTGTAATGTATACGGACTAAATATTGTTTATCTATTTATATATATATCATTATTATTGCAATCACATGCCATCTATTTCTTTTCAGCCTCGGGAAGGAGGGCCATATTACCAGCTGAGGTGCGCAATGCATTGTGGGGCAGAAGCAGTACGTGAAGCAAGCTCCGTTGCACACTCAGAAATCGAAGCCGATTGAGTATACATCCGGGCATTTCTCGCATACACAAAATTCGCATACTGTACAGTGTGAACGCACTGCCTACTCAATTTAGAGGCGGGGTTAGTAGGAGTAGTAGGAGTAGTAGGCCATTTTGGACACAGCCTATATGTTCGCGCCTCTCCCATCAAAGAAGTCTTGTGTCGCTCTCGCGCTCTCTCGTGCTGCATTCACTGTCGTCGGACATCGGAACTTCGCGCTCGTACCTGTTACATTTTTCTATCGGTTCATTGCTGCCGGTTGGGGTGGCAGCAGGGGTGGCAAGGGTTAATTTTAGGGTGGCACCTGCCACCCCATGCCACCCCAGTAGATCCACCCCTGACCCCACAGGAACATCAATGCCTGCAATATGCGTGTGTAAGGATGCCTAGCCCGTGTTCACACGTTAAAAAAATGGAAGGTCCACACGAATTATCATTTTGACAAGCTTTACTGGTTGCAAATCTGGGTTAGAGCTTCATCATGCCACAAGTGTAACAATAATCTGGTCTGAGACTGTTCAAGTTTATATAGTCGTCCACATTTCCAAACCATTTCCCTTGCATCTTGTTGACCTGAAGGAAAGTCCATGTAAGGTAATAACAACGCACAACATATTTTGGGAGCCCGAGTGATGTTAAACATGGGTACAAGGTCCTTGATAGTTGTCACTAAAGAAAATCCCTCAAGAGTATGCTACACATTAAAAATATATAATCATAATAATTTTATGCTAAATCAGCTGTCCCCATCAAATTATGAAAAGTCATGAAATATGAAGCAAAAAAACAAAAGTCAACAATTATTTTTTAAATGATAAACATTGAATGGGGTCAAATTGACCCCAAGGATAATAAGAGGGTTAAAGATTAAAATGTGATTGTTATTGTTGTTATTACTAAAATGGTTATTATTCACAATAGTCTTATGGCACAAAAGAAGTTATGTCCTTTTGAGAAAGTGACTGGGGCAAAGAGTTATGGGGGGCACATGGACCTAAGAGATCAGCAGGGGTCACTATTCTGATTCTGGTCACTGATTTTTAAGTTTGCAAAGTTATTTTGAAATAGTTTTGACTAGCCATCGAGCCTCTTTTTCTGAGACATCTACGTGATTTCAAAGTCCTCTGAACGCCACCCAGCAGATCCAAAGTCATCCTCTGTGCCAGAGTTTTGAGTTAGACCAAAGGAGCATCCCAAGGATTCACAAGGCTATGGTTTTTGCTTCAGACCTTAGCACTGCGACTCCTGGCCCATCTTTTGGCTGACTTCGGTCGTCTTCTGGGCTGAACCGCTCGAATCGCTGGTAGCCCCAGACCTTCGGAACCTGCTCCATCTTCTCCAAGGACCAGTCTCACTTAAGTATGCAAAGCTCCAGAGCTCCAAACAGACTACTGCTACAAACTACTTTTGTAAATCTGTCCGAGCACTATACACAAATGCTAATTCCTTAAACAAACTTAAATATGACTTCCCCCTAGTTTTCAGTTATCTCTGGGTGTTCATTAAGGTTGCTCTGTTTATCCCCATTTGTTTTTTCTTACAGCCCAACTCCGGTCATTCTTGAGAGTGAGACAAATTACAAAAAGTCAGGTAACAGATGATTCCGCTTTCTCTGAAAAATTCAGATCACATACGTTGCTATAAAACTAATTCAAATGTTCTTTGCAGCATCAGGAGTAAAATTAAATAGAAAAAACAATGAGCTGCTGCCCATACCTCTGTGTCAACATACAATTTCATAATAATCCTGTAAATTCACAATCAAAATTATAGGAAAAAAAAGTTGCAACCTAAAATCAATTTGGAACTTTATCCCGAATAATAGTTTCTCTAACCTTGTCGGTCTATCTCTCCTCTTTAAACACATAGAAAAATTATCTATTAAATTAGCCAAATTCTACAAACAAATGCTTGACCACTTATTTCTAAACACTGCTTCTTTCCACATACATATTTAATCTGACACAACTATGATATTGTGTTCCACATTTAATATTCTTTACAAAATGGTTTAAATAAAGTTTAAAAAAAAACAAAAAACTGAACTTTAGAATTCTCTGATGTTAGTGGTCTGTGATGTCACAGTGTGATGTCATAATGCCTCATCAAGACATCAAAGCGTGATGTCATAGTGATGTCATCAAAGAGAATGATTCTTTCAAGCTGTCGTAGTAATTACGTTCTCCTACGTTATATTATTACTTATCATACCCACACAGTCGAAGAGGATAGACCGTTCACAGTCTGATATTAGTTTAGATTTTTCGCGCCAACGGAAAGACTCCAAAATGAGTGTCCAGAATTTGTATGTGTACGGCTTAAAAAGCCTGACTGAGTGTGTTTCCAGAGCAGTACTCATTGCACAGCCAATCAACACCACTGAGTTTGTACGACAGCATATGTTGGGACTCAATGACTATTACAAGTGTCACCCTGAAACTGATCCCAAGAGAGTTGTCTTTGACTACCAGGAGCAATTTGGTAAGTAACTGTCAAAATATTCATTATATCATGGTTTTTAAGTACTCCTACATTTTTCATGTTTAAGTTAGTACAGTGGTTCTCGACCGATCTTTCTTTGTAAGAAAGTAATCCAGTGTAATGATGATAGCTCATCTTAATGCAGGACTTACTTAAATCTAGTGGTTAATTTTGGTCATCTAAATAAGAACTATAAGTTAGTCAGCAAGCTTATTGTAATTGTTTAGAAAAGTATGCATTGTGTATTCACATCACATCTTTTATCTTTTTTTTTTTTTTTAGAGACTCAGTTCCTGAGAAGAGGGACGGGAAGTAGAGGGACACAGGCTTCCATTACATCCCATGAGGTAGAGAAGGAACTGAAGATACCACCTGCCACTGGAAAAGACACTGAGTCTCCCCCACCTCTTCGGGAAGCCAGTATTGGGACAGTCAAGGCTCCCGGACAACAGCAGAGTGGAAGAACCAGAAAAAACAATATCCAGCAGAAAAAGGGGAAGAAAAATATTAAGCACAAAACTTTATCTGATGAGCCTCAAGTACCAAGACCTCCTTGGGAAGAGATCAGAGGAACACCACTACCCCATAGAATTGGAGACGGTAGGCGTAAAGCAGTAGTACAAGGGAGTACTAGCACAGGACATACTGAGCCAATGGTTTTCATCAATTTTACTGATCAACCTGTTTGTTCCCATAATCTTCCCCTTGTTCCTGTTCGTACTATTATTAGATACAAACGTAAAATAGTACCTACACCCAAGGATCAGTAGCATGTCGCCTCACAGCAAGAACGTCCAGGGTTTAAATCCGGCTCTGGGCGTTTCGATGTGGAGATTGCATGTTCTCCTTGTGTCTGCATGGGTTTACTCCGGGTGCTCCGGTTTCCTCCCACATCCCAAAAACATGACAAAAAAAAAAAAAACTACCTCAGTAACTCCGCCAAATTGTATCCAATGGGTCATTTTTGCCGGTCCCAAGCCCGGATAAAGGAGGAGGGTTGGTATTGTGACAATTAAGAAACAAGAACAATAAAAGAACGTTCATTTGCACTTCTTAACACGAGGGGTGTTTTTCACCCATTTTTTCGCTTTCTTTCCCACAACGTTGTTTTCCCTATTATGCAAATTAGGTGATGACATCATTTAGCAACTTCTAGCGACTTTTAGGACAGCCAAGAGCTACATTCATTCCTGAGGAGTTGGCAACACTGCACACACACACACGTACAGAGCAATACACAAACAACAACAAAAACAACAACAACAACAGTCAACTCTGGTTAAAAAATAAGCAAAGAGGAACACCACAAACCAAGTACCATTGCGTTTAAGATTTTTTTCATATAAGAGTCAAAATGCAGAATAACAAAAATTTAGTAAAAAAAAAATAATGTACACAAAAATCACAGCTGTTTCAAAAAAAACAAAAACAACTCTGGCCCGAACTACACGAAGGCGGATATATTTCAAACCGCATATATTTATGTCCGATTAGGCCTCCCTACCACACCAAACCGGGAGTTTGGAGCACTCAAACCAGATAAATCTGAATCCGGAAAAACAAACGGATAAATAAAAAAAATTCCGTAGTGGATTCGTGTGGTCTGACTTTTACGGATCGATGACGTCAAACCGCAGCTCGCGCATGCGCATTAAAAACAAAAACAATAACAACAACGATGGCGGACATACAGGGTATTCTTTACGTTTGTTTTGCCCTTTTGGGGCTAATTTCAGCCTTGCAAGTGAACCTTATTTTATACAATTACATCCACCAGTCATTTTTTTTAAAGGGCACCAGATATGATTGAGTTTGAAGCCTGCGTGTGGACGCAGATATTTTTTTGAACTAACGTGTGGACAGGTACATTTATTTAGACGGGAGTACAAAAATATCCAGATAAATAAATATCTGCCTTCATGTAGTTCGGGCCTCTGTTCTTTAAAGGGGACCTGCCACCAAAATTTCATACCCATTTTTATCATTTTTTCATAATCCTTGATGTCCTCTGATCATGTTTGCAACATAATTTTAGCTGAAAAGTTATTTGATGGTTTGTTTTAGTATGCCTAAAAAACCTTACAGGAAAATCAACTGGTTTTGGCTCATTAACATTTATGGTAATGAGCTTTGCTCTGATTGGATCGCTGCTGTGAAGCCTGCTGTGCTCTGATTGGCTCAGCAGTGGAAGTTCGGATTTCGGTTTATCCACTGTTATTATGCTAATGCTAATAGCATATGCTAATGTGTGCTAAAGTAAGGTGCCCAGATGTCTGTAATGATATCCGGGGATATTCGATGCGGCGGCGGCGGCGGTGCAGGGGCTGCAGGGGCTGTGTGATCACAGACAAAGTCTCGGTACTATTTAGTAGCAGCGCATGCCCCTTGGAATAACCCCCGTAAGAACTGTTGTTAAGGACTGCTAACTTGTGCTTCCTATCTATTCGGCTGCTGTAATAACCATTGTTCGAGCCCACACGCAACATTTTTGCTCTCATTCATGAAACGCTTAAATCGGGGACATTTTCGGGGACAGCTTTTGCCGGGGACAGGTCATCCAATACGGGGACTGTCCCCGGAAATCGGGGACGTCTGGTCACCTTATGCTAAAGTCTAAAAACGGCAGGTATTAAACCATATATTTTAGACCCCGAGTCCGAAGAGGAGGTGGAAGTTGAGGAAGAAGCCGGAGATCTCAAGCGGTGTTTTCTCATTCATTCTGCCCAGCTTTAAGTTCATTTTCCCTGGCAGTGAACCGAAGGAAACACCGGTCGTTTGGAAGAGACCCATAGCGGATACAGTGGTAGCTGGGTCTCGCTCTGGCTGTGACTGAGTACGAGAACGAGAGAGTGGGCACGGCTCACCGAGGACGCGCTCGTGAATAATAATGAGCAACGTCGGCGCAACGTAACACCGACCTGCTTTTTCAATTGGCCTGGTTTACTCGTTCCTTTATTTTAAACCTTTACAGAATGCAAACGACGTAATGGTTTGTTTTCGCATTTACAACATAAGACGAACATAATATGGACCTTATCTGACACAAAAAAACCCCAAAATTACATTTTTATGGCAGGTCCCCTTTAAATGTCCTTGATCTATATCGGTGTATTAATGCAATTCATTGAAAATTAAATTTAGTATTTTTAACCATTAGATGGTTATAATGTCATTGAATAATCTGAATGTTGCATATAGAATCCATTACTACTCATTATGAAGTTCATTCACGTTTACTTTTTTGTTGTTTACAGTTTCTATGTGTGACTATCTTCTTCAATTAGATCAAAAATTTAGGGTCCTGAATTGCACCGATGACCTCTCCTTTCTCTCTCTCCTCACACACACACCTCAGAGACACTCACAGTGTGAAGGAGATAAAACCAGTAAAGTTGGGGTTGCTAAGCCTCTTCATGCTCTTTTGTGTTCCTCTTTGTCTCCGCTTGTTTTCTCTTAGCTCTTAAGGTCCTTACACGCCGAGAACGACGCAAATATACGACGCGAAATTACAAAATACTGGGAGGTGAATTTTGACGCGCCTGACTATACACATCAAGCGCAATGTGATTTTGCGACTTTCCAGTGGGAAAAAAAGACGCGCCCCGGGTGGAAGCTAGAAGACAAAAATGGAGTCTACTTAAACTTCAAGTGATGGTGAACTGGTACTGCTATTAAAAATTATAAGAGCTACCAGTACCAGATAAGCACAATAAACTATAATCCATAAACGTAAGGTAACAACCGAGACCTAATGGTGCTGTGACAGCAACGCGGTTGATCTTGAGACAGTAAAAATGCGTATGGTATGTTGTTTCTGAACAGGTTAGCTTACAAGCTTAAGTTACTTAGCACAGATGAAAGTTAAAACAAAGACGTTTAGCAAACTGTTAAAGCACACAATCGTCATATGAGAAATCCGATGCTATGACTCTTCACAAGTTGTCCTTCAGGTTGTTATCTTTTCAATATTTGTGTTTTTTATCAAATAGCACTCTGTTCTCCGACACGTAAACCATCAGCCAGCTGGCCATGTTGGATATACCGGTGAATCTGACGTCACAACAACATGAAATCTGATTGTCAGAAGTGGACACTCAGTATGCAAAACTTAACTTAACTTAAGAAAATTTAACTGTGATACGAAAACATAAATGCTGCAGTATTGCAGGATAGGATTTGAATGTCGCTAATGTGAACGCTTGTAATGACAGGATACAGGATCAAAAAAAAAAAATTGACGTCCAAAATAATCGCACAAAGAAAACGCTCCCGCTGTGTAAGGACCTTTACTCTTACTACTTAGTTGTACTTTTTCTTAGACTGCTAGACTTCTCCTTTTTTCGCCACGTGTTCATTCACACTGATTTTACTTAAACATCATCGTAGTTCAAGTTTTAAAACTTCAACTTTTTTGTGCACATAGCAATCCAAGATTAAGTCTTTAATTGGTTTTTCTTTAAGTTTAAGTTAAGTGACGAACATTGAATGGGGTCAAATTGACCCCAAGGATAATAAGAGGGTTAAAGATTAAAATGTGATTGTTATTGTTGTTATTAATAAAATGGTTATTATTCACAATAGTCTTATGGCACAAAAGACGTCATGTCCTTTTGAGAAAGTGACTGGGGCAAAGAGTTATGGGGGGCACATGGACCTAAGAGATCAGCAGGGGTCACTATTCTGATTCTGGTCACAGATTTTTAAGTTTGCAAAGTGATTTTAAAATAGTTTTGACTAGCCATCGAGCCTCTTTTTCTGAGACACCCAGCAGATCCAAAGTCATCCTCTGTGCCAGAGTTTTGAGTTAGACCAAAGGAGCATCCAAAGGATTCACAAGGCTATGGTTTTTGCTTCAGACCTTAGCACTGCGACTCCTGGCCCATCTTTTGGCTGACTTCGGTCGTCTTCTGGGCTGAACCGCTGGAATCGCTGGTAGCCCCAGACCTTTGGAACCTGCTCCATCTTCTCCAAGGACCAGTCTCACTTAAGTATGCAAACCTCCAGAGCTCCAAACAGACTACTGCTACAAACTACTTTTGTAAATCTGCCCGAGCACCATAAACAAATGCTAATTCCTTAAACAAACTTAAATATGACTTCACCCTAGTTTTCAGTTATCTCTGGGTGTTCGTTAAGGTTGCTCTGTTTATCCCCATTTGTCTTTGCTTACAGCCCAACTCCGGTCATTCTTGAGAGTGATATTTAAGACTTTTTTTTTGCCGGCAGACAAATTACAAAAAGTCAGGTAACAGATGATTCCGCTTTCTCTGAAAAATTCAGATCACATACGTTGCTATAAAACTAATTCAAATGTTCTCTGCAGCATCAGGAGTAAAATTAAATAGAAAAAACAATGAGCTGCTGCCCATACCTCTGTGTCAACATACAATTTCATAATAATCCTGTAAATTCACAATCAAAATTATAGGAAAAAAAAGTTTTGATGCAACCTAAAATCAATTTGGGACTTTATTCCGAATAATAGTTTCTCTAACCTTGTCGGTCTATCTCTCTTCTTTAAATACAATAACATAGAAAAATTATCTATTAAATTAGCCAAATTCTACAAACAAATGCTTGACTACTTATTTATAAACACGGCTTCTTTCCACATACATATTTTATCTGACACAACTATGATTTTGTTTTACCAACCCTCCTCCTTTATCCGGGCTTGGGACCGGCAAAAATGACCCATTGGATACAATTTGGCGGAGTTACTGAGGTAGTTTTTATTTTTTTTTGTCATGTTTTTGGGATGTGGGAGGAAACCGGAGCACCCGGAGTAAACCCATGCAGACACAGGGAGAACATGCAATCTCCACATCGAAACGCCCAGAGCCGGATTTAAACCCTGGACCTTCTTGCTGTGAGGCGACATGCTACTGATCCTTGGGTGTAGGTACTATTTTACGTTTGTATCTAATAATAGTACGAACAGGAACAAGGGGAAGATTATGGGAACAAACAGGTTGATCAGTAAAATTGATGAAAACCATTGGCTCAGTATGTCCTGTGCTAGTACTCCCTTGTACTACTGCTTTACGCCTACCGTCTCCAATTCTATGGGGTAGTGGTGTTCCTCTGATCTCTTCCCAAGGAGGTCTTGGTACTTGAGGCTCATCAGATAAAGTTTTGTGCTTAATATTTTTCTTCCCCTTTTTCTGCTGGATATTGTTTTTTCTGGTTCTTCCACTCTGCTGTTGTCCGGGAGCCTTGACTGTCCCAATACTGGCTTCCCAAAGAGGTGGGGGAGACTCAGTGTCTTTTCCAGTGGCAGGTGGTATCTTCAGTTCCTTCTCTACCTCATGGGATGTAATGGAAGCCTGTGTCCCTCTACTTCCCGTCCCTCTTCTCAGGAACTGAGTCTCTAAAAAAAAAAAAAGATGTGATGTGAGTACACAATGCATACTTTTCAAAACAATTACAATAAGCTTGCTGACTAACTTATAGTTCTTATTTAGATGACCAAAATTAACCACTAGATTTAAGTAAGTCCTGCATTAAGATGAGCTATCATCATTACACTGGATTACTTTCTTACAAAGAAAGATCGGTCGAGAACCACTGTACTAACTTAAACATGAAAAATGTAGGAGTACTTAAAAACCATGATATAATGAATATTTTGACAGTTACTTACCAAATTGCTCCTGGTAGTCAAAGACAACTCTCTTGGGATCAGTTTCAGGGTGACACTTGTAATAGTCATTGAGTCCCAACATATGCTGTCGTACAAACTCAGTGGTGTTGATTGGCTGTGCAATGAGTACTGCTCTGGAAACACACTCAGTCAGGCTTTTTAAGCCGTACACATACAAATTCTGGACACTCATTTTGGAGTCTTTCCGTTGGCGCGAAAAATCTAAACTAATATCAGACTGTGAACGGTCTATCCTCTTCGACTGTGTGGGTATGATAAGTAATAATATAACGTAGGAGAACTTAATTTGTACGACAGCTTGAAAGAATCATTCTCTTTGATGACATCACTATGACATCACGCTATGATGTCTTGATGAGGCATTATGACATCACACTGTGACATCACAGACCACTAACATCAGAGAATTCTAAAGTTCAGTTTTTTGTTTTTTTTTAAACTTTATTTAAACCATTTTGTAAAGAATATTAAATGTGGAACACAATATCATAGTTGTGTCAGATTAAATATGTATGTGGAAAGACAAGACCGACAAAGTTAGAGAAACTGTTGATGAAGATAAGCACAGTCAAGGCTTCAGTCTTCCCCTTGTTTCTGTTCGTACTATTATTAGATACAAACGTAAAATAGTACCTACACCCAAGGATCAGTAGCACTGTCGCCTCACAGCAAGAAGGTCCAGGGTTTCAATTCAGCACTGGGCGTTTCGATGTGGAGATTGCATGTTCTCCCTGTGTCTTCATGGGTTTACTCCAGGTGCTCCGGTTTCCTCCCACATGTCAAAAAAAAAACTACCTCAGTAACTCCAACAAATTGTATCAATTGGGTCATTTTTGCCGATGACTCACCGGCTATTAGTACAAAGGAGATGTAGCAGAGTCCCAAGTGGTTAGACCAATTAGACCAAAATATAGACCAAAATATAGACCAAAATAGACCAATTTACAGCCTACCTCATCCAGAAGCTGCAGCACAGCATGGCAAGTGTCAATAAAAGTTTCCTACTATTTTGCCCCAGCCACTCAAACGACCACGTAAGCAGGACAAGTGTCCTGCTTTAACTGACCGGTGACAATCAGTCTCTACAGGGAGAGAGGCTCACACACAGAGGATCTTTCACAATTTTACAAACACGCATGCACACACACACACAGAGCAGCGATCTGATGTAATCATCAATATTAACTGTATAAACTTCATCACCATTCTCCCTCATCTACACACCTGTCTCCTCTCATCCACACAGACCCACCGGTGTTCACAAAGCTATAGCTTTCACAGCGGCTAATCACACAACACCACTGTTTAACAGAGATCTGATATCAAATAAAGGAGGAAATGTGACCTTGAAAAATATAAAATGTCCTAAACTCTGTCCACCACACATCCGAGCAGAGACATAACTGATCCACTGAACTGAACCAGCAGTGACCTAAAGATTCCTCACAAAGCACACAAGAAAACAGCTCTAGGGCTGAGCAACTTAAGCTTGGCTGGCTTATTGCTGAGTTTATTTCCACTACATGCCCGTGAGGTGCTTTTAGGGCCACGTGCCTGAGAAATGTGTTACAGAACCACAGTGTTATCTGTCCCATTATTACTACAGCCATATCATTCCCCCACAAGGCTAAACAAGGAGACAGTGTTAAGAATAATGGAGGGTGCAAGTCCTGTTACTTAGCAACCTCTGGATTGCATCAGTCATTAGGCTAATGGCACATGTGACTGGCTCAGAGAGGAAGCATTGGTCCCCTGTTTTGATGTATGAGTTGCAAAGTGCTGCTGTGAAACCATCTCCAGAGTGTGATCTGTAGTGTGAATATCTAATATGGTTTACACTTCCACCACAAAGAAGCGACTGCAGTATGATGTATATATGCTGACTGACCATACATCCCATATGAACACGGTTAGCCTCCTATCTGTTTTTACCTTTACTTGTTTTATTGTTTAGCAGCAGACCTTGACATCTTAATCATGTTGCAAGACCAAGAGTTACTGTAGATATGCCAGATGGGTCCTCTTAAACAGAATAAGAAAAAGAAGAACTTTGTTTTCCTAAGGGAAATTCATTGTCTGTAGTCTCATGTGTCATGTCATCTACTATTTACTGCAAAATTAAACAGTCTGATGGCTGTGGGTACAAAAGCTCTTCTGAATCTTTCTATCCTGCAAGAGAGAGGAGCTGTCCACCACCATTGGTCCTTTGGTCCATCAAGGTGTTATAAAGTGGATGATCCATGTTCTTTAGAATAACTTCCACCTTCCTCAGAGTGCATCTCTCCACCACATCCACTAGTGAGTCCAACTTGATGCCAACCACAGAATCAGCTTTTTTCACCAGTTTGTTCAGATGTCTTGCATCTCTGTGTTTGATACTACCTCCTTAGCAGACTGCAGCATAGAACAGAACACTTGCCACCACAGACTGATATAACAAGTGGAGCATCTTACTGAAGATTAGGGTTGTCACAATACTAAAATTTCAAACTCACTATCGATACCCAGAAAAATACTCTGTATCATTTTCGATACCGCAGGGATAAAAAATGACAAATACTATAAAAGGCATAAAAAATATTTTTATTAACATGAAAAACTGAACGGCAGATGAATAATCAATTAAATAAAATTGACATTGATATTCTTAGACCAGTCCAACTTATTATCCAGGTGTACACCTAGATATAAAATACAATTTCACCACCTCAGTGTCCATGCCACAGGTGTTTACCGGCTGAATAGAGGGTTCGGATTTGCTGAAGTCTATGATCATTTCCTATTTCTTTGAGGTGTTGAGAAGGAGGCAGTTTGCCACGATAGCGGTGTCAGCTGAGTATTTCTGGATATGACAGGACTCAGTGCTGTATTTTAAGTGTGATGTATACAGTGTGAACAGGAATGAAGCCAGGACTGTCCCTTGTCTGTAGTCATTTAGTACCGCTGGACACACATCATCTAGGCCAGCTGCCATCCCAGGGCAGGGTCTTCCAAGCTCCAACCTCACCCCTGCATCTGTTACAGACAAGGGCTGATGTACTCAGAGGGAAATAGTTGAAGTGGTTGAGACATTTGAATGAGATGGAAGAGGAAGGGGAGAAGTTTTAGTGGAAATTTTCCATATGTTGAGTAGAGGAAGGTGGGGTAGCAGTGGAAGTGGGTGTGTCAGAAGTGTCAAATCTGTTAAAGAACAGGTTCGTGAGCTCTTTCCACATCATCCACTACTGGCTGTCCATTCTTTTTATTGCTGTGTCCAGAGATGGTACTCATGCCTCTCCACACCTCACGGATGTAGCTGTGTTGTAAATTCCTCTCTATCTTCTTTTTGTATTCCCGCTTTGCCGTCTTCAGTCTCCTCTTCAACTCTTGTTGCACTTGTCTGAGTTGTTCTCTGTCACCATCTTTAAAAGCTTTCTTTTTCTAGTTGAGTATTGCTTTTAAGTCACTTGTGTTCCAGGGTTTGTTGTTGGGGAAACAGTGAACAGTCTTTGTAGGTAAAACTGTGTCTCTACAGAAGTTGATGTACTCAGTAAAACATTCAACCTGTCTGTCAATGTCCATACTGTCCTCATCTGTTTTCAGCAGCACAGTCCAGTCAGTTGATTCCAAACAGTCCCTTAGAGCTTCACTAGCTTGAGAGTCCATCTTCTAATTTTGACTTTAGTTGCAGTCTGCTTCAGCACACAAGGTTTGTAACGGGTCTGCAGATAAATCAGGTCATGATCTGACCTTTCCAGTGGTGGTAAGGCAGTCGCTCTATAGGCTTCTTTGATGTTGGCATACAGCAGGTCCAAGGCTTTGTTTTCTCTGGTAGGGCAATTAACAAACTGTGAAAATCCAGTCAGGTGAGAGTGGAGGGTGACATGATTGAAGTCTCCTGATATTATCATCTGTGCCTTATGACCAAATGTTGAGTTCAGAACCGTGACTACAAATTTTTTCATTGCACTCTTACTCGCAATTGCTTGAGAAGTAATACCAGGGACATTTTATAGAAAGATGCAGGAGACAAGAGGGAGAGGTTAATAACATGTTTTAGATGCATTGCCTGTTCTACTTCATTCTGCATCTCTCCATTGTATTTTGGGTTTAAGAGATCTTATAAATTGTCAGCAGAGTCTGCAGAGGAAAGACATTGGAAAGTTCTTTCATTACATGGTTTCTCTGCTGATTCAGAAAGACAAGAAGCTGTTTGCGGTCTGGCCTAACTTAAAAGTATCCACACAACAAAACAATAAAAGCAAAGCAGAAAACACGGAGGGTGGTTGATTTGAATCGTGGTTTTTGGCAGTGGTATTCTATTCATCAGATTTCATCTGCTGACAATCTAGCAGAGGCCTGATGCAGGAATGGCCTGGGCTTGACCCTCATTTTCTGCTTATATTGTGAAGCCAAGGTTTGGCTCCCGCCCAGCACCCAGGAGAAATACCCTACACCTTTTTAACAACAAATCACGCTGGCAGGCAGCTGCAGCCCGCGTAAAGTTGACCATTCGATGTTACAACCTGAAGGGCCAAATTGGGCATGGGCTGCTATGAAAATATTCTGATGAGATGTGCTCCTATTCTGGTGGGAATAAAACTGTGTTTTCTTTTATTACATTAGCATAACAGGTGGTGCATCAAAGCTTTCATTTAAAAATATGAAAAGTGTTTGCTAAGGTAAATGCGAAATACAATATCTGTTATGTTATTGTCAGAGAAGATGCAAGAGTTTGTGTTTGAGTTTTTGAGTGTTCCTTCAGGGAGCTCCAGAGTGCTTTTATTTGTTGAATAACCATTGCAAATATTGTTGCAATAAAACTGTTTTATATCCACACCAATGAAGTCATCTCACAAAAATAAACAAGACTGACCCTCTTTGAAAGGGTTCTGCAAAAAAGCACGACACTGAGAGAAGAGTCAATATTGTGTTTGTTGTAAATCATTACAGGTGTCATAAGTATAGGATGTTGATCAACAATCAGTTTCAAATAATCTAGAAGCGAAAAGTTAAGAGATTTTTGTCTTTGACCTGTAGCTGCAAGCTCTGCCCATCTAGGGTAAAAAAATGTGAAAAGTATTCGCAACTTAAGTTCAGCTGACAAATTAGGTGGAGTGCTGAAAGGACATAACCCTCTCACAACTGACCCTTTTCAGTCAAATGTCTCAAGAAGGTACATTCACTGACTGT